GAGAGAGAGAGAGAGAGAGAGAGAGAGAGAGAGAGAGAGAGATAGAATAAGAGAGAATGAGCGAGAATACGTTTCTAAGTGTATTACATCTCCGAGGCGAAAAGGGAGAGAGAAAGATAGAGAAAGATGAGAGAGAGAGAGAGAGAGAGTGACTGCCAGCCGCGTACCGCCTAAATATGTAATAATATCTACGGGAGATACCGGCATTCCCCGACCTCGAGAAGAATTCGATCAAAATGTGTCGCGATACTCTCCCGGTATGCCAGGTGAGGTACGCGCTCACTTCCCTTCTCCTTTCGCTCTTCTCCCCTTCAGTAGCTTCCTGCCACCCCTTTCGACCCCTTTCACACTGCCTTGCTTCGTTGTATCTCTCCCCCGCGTCTTCTTCCGTCGTTGCTTTGTCCTCGTTTGCACACGATCGGATACAATAAGAGTAGACGCAAACATTCTTGCACATCCGCGAAGATGCGTCATTCAGGACTATGTTCTATCAATCTATTCTCAAATGTGAAATCGAAGGAGTGAAATATCAGAGATTTTACCGTAATTCTTTCGACTTACAAATTCCCGTTATCAAATGAAGTCTTTTATTATCAAACGAGAGATTTTTTTTTTTTTATTCTAATGAAATCCTTTCCGATATGATAATTGCTATATAATTATAAGAAACCTTTTAATTTTTAATATTATTATTTTCCATAAATTGCAATATCAGATTTTAATAATTTTAAAATTAAGAATTATATCGTTAGAATTACTAAAGAATTTTTAAGCTGAAAATATATAATAGATTTTATATTGTAATTCTTACTTGTTCTTTATTTTGTTCTCGCCAATTAGTTTATATAAATGAAATTTTACATATTTGCACGTCATAACAGTAAAATAAAATCACACAAATTAAATTTACAAAGAAAGAGTAAAAGAGGAAAAGAGAGTAAGTAAGAATCGTATGATAAAAATTTGTAGGAAATAAGGAAACGAATAATTTAGAGTCGCTTACCGCGAGGCGATTCCGTCTAAAAGAGAAAATCCTCATATTGCGCGAGCAGCGTCTCTGCTTTTAGGTGCAGCAGGAATTTCCGAATGCGCCATTCGCGTGATATTTTAATACTTTATACCTCACCGTCCTTGCGAGTAAATCTCTGCCATGATAAGACCCGTCAGGAATTTCACCCCCGCGGAACATCCGCCGTTTATAAGAAATGTTTTCGAAGTTTATGAGGGCGACGCAAAGTCCTGGTATGAGGCGGACCTAAAGCCTTCATCCTTCTTCCTTTTCTCTCTCCTTTTTTTATTCTTCTTTTTAAATAAAAGCAACGCCGATAGAGGAAAGCGCCATGTCGCAAAACTGACAATAAAATGACGTCGTCTTTGGAATATCGTTGAAAAATGCGATGAGAAATTTCCGTCAAAAATTTGCACTAACAATACAACATGCGTCATAACTTGCGCATCGTTGTTTCATATTTAATTTTCGACGTAATTCTAAACGAAATTTTACAAAGTAGTAGACGTGATTGAGAATAATAATAATAATTATAATCATAAATAATTTATACATCATGTGTAATTTCTATTTTATTAAGTTATATAACGTTTTATAACTTTCACAAATAATATGTATACCTACTACAATTTATATTTTATATTCTTCATTCATAATAGCTTTTTCTAGAATAATTCTACAAATAATTTTTTTTTATAACGATTAAAATTTATTTATTAGAAATTATAGAAACTTTCTATATACATATATATAAGATCATAGACATTCAAAATGCATAGTTTATGAATAATAGTCGCAGTAACAGCTACGCTTTCCGTGACATTGTGAAACAAGAGCGTTGTGCACGCTTATGGTCTTGATTGTAATTCTACGGTTACAATTCTGAGTTGCTCCGGCTAACGCAATGTCCAATCTGAGCATTGTGACGTCATGAATTTAGACGCGGGCTAGAATTAACTGCCTTCCGTATCAGACGATGTAACTCTGAACAATATACGCACGATAAATGCATCTAGCGCAAGATCATACACTACGATTCCTTCAAATTGTCTTTGTGTGACAAAAACGCGATACGTCAGCTAATATAGTAAACTAATCAGTTCACTTTTTAACGAGGAAAAAAGGACATAAAAAAAAGATTTAATATTAATTGTCGTAATTAAATTTTAATAGATAAACATTTTTTAAATAATTGTTAGTTAAACACATACAAAAATATTATATTATTATATTTGTAAATAACTATAATAATACTTAATGTGTAACATCACATAAAATCGCAAAAATGACAACAAGATTATGAGATCATATATATTTTATTTTTTAGACTTATACTTTTTATTAAATATATTTACGAATAACATCTTTTCAAATTAAATTTTTTAAATTAAAAAAAATTACAAAATTTTCTTCGTGTGAAAATTATATTTCATACTTATTATTTTCACATCTAAAAAAGGGATAATTTATAATTACGTTCTCAATTTGGAACAAATTTGGGACGGGTTATAAAATGAAAAGACGAAGAGGTAAAATTTGGAACTCTCCTTCCTAATTTTGAATGGTTAATCATTTTACTATACAACGACTTTCTCTTAATATACCAATCGCTTATTATGTAAATAAAGTAAACTTTACTAATATTCATTCAAATATTTTCTAAACACGATAGAAGAAATTTGATATTTTGCAATTAATATCAGCAAATTACAAATTTTAAACTCGAAAGATTTATTTTTAAGTCTCTGTATCTCCTTCTATCTCTTTCTCTTTTGAACACAGACCAAAATTATTTAGTAATGCAATTATACGTCGGATATAAAAAGAGAAATTTATTTTATTTTAAATTACCCTTTAAGGACCAAAAGGATATGTAGAAATAGACCGAGAACAGGAAGTCGACGAATGTAAAGCGGTGGAAAAATTATGAATTCATAACTTTACAAAATGAATTTCTATCGATTCCTTTTTAATTCACCTTGCACATGAACGTATCTATATCTAGCTCGCGTAAAACGGCGCTCATGATGTCGACTCGACGACGCTGCAGATTTCTTGCAGGAGTCAGGTGCGGAGCGTCGGACGCGATGTGTGGTGCGTGTCGATGAACCTACACCCATCCTCCAGGTAAAGT